CCCCAGCACAGACATGTTTTAGAAGAAAGCAGGAGCTAATCAGCCATTCAGTACATGGCTGGGACAGCCTCACCCTCAATTTACGTTTGCAAACTTTAAATCAAGTAGATAAGGGTGGCAGGAAAACAAAACTATTATTATATCATATACAGTACTTATCTTATAAAGAGTTATCACTTCCATTAGTATGAAGAAAACATGCAGGCAGGGCCCTTTCTCTAGCAGGCAACAGGCACTAGCCCAGATCAGGAACAGCACTAATGAGCACCAAACAATTTTCACAAAAAATGTCTGCCTGACTTCATTTTACACTTTAGGTTCAGCCTAAAAATGTTGCAATTGTTTCTGTGCTGACAGTCCCACAAACTCTTCTATTAATATAATAAGATATGCAGATACTTTCCAGCAGTCGCAGTTCGTCTAGGACAGACCCTGTTAAACTGAGCAAATTCAGTCTGAGCCCATACTGAAACATTTATTGACCTCTCAGGAAAAGAAGTCTGTCCTCAAGTTCTGTCATTGCTCATCCTTCTTAGCATTTTCAGCTACGTATCAAATCTGCCTTTCTTGAAGCAAGGTGCAGACAGGCTGAAGAGGGAGCTCTGAATCTCTGCTCGCTAAGTACAGTGACAACAGCGCAAGGCACATTTTACTCGCCTGCAAACTACAGGGGGTCAGGCACTAACTTAACGTCTTTTGATAAATTGTAATTACACAAGCCTTGGAAACAATGCAGACTATATGAAACCCAGCGAAATACTGCTGAAAAAGATACACCAGAGATTTTAAGATCTCTTTTGTTAATAATGAAGCCTTTAGTAATTCAGCATCACTTGGAATACCACTTCTATCACCGAGCACAAAGAAAGGACATGCATTAAAAGCTGCTTTATGATTTCTGTAGTAAAAATGTCCAACACAAGACACAGATTTCACCTAGGAATCATTCGGTAAGCAGTAAGTGTAAGTGTACTAAATCAGAATATGGCACTAAACAGCAGAAATGCACTTCTCCTTACTCTTTCCAAGAAGGCTGAGTGCAAACTTCTGCTAAACACATTTTGAAGACAGAAACCAGCTTAAACTTTTTCTAGAAAGAACTCTATGTGTCTTACAATTTTTCTTACATGTATTTGCATTACACTTATCCCAACACCAGACACTGAAGCTATGTTTAGACATCTACAAGCAAGAACATATACACGGTCCCAATTTAAAATGAAGATTTTAAAAGATTTTTTATGAATGTAACAGAAGTAGAAACTTCACTTGAAAATGATCATTACAATATAAAACTCACCATGTATAAGATGACAAAAAATGTTCCCTGTACGCTTTTATTCCTTCTTTTCTAGGAGATGTAAAGCTGTAACACTTAAGGCCTCAACTAACAGCAAATATTTAAAATGCCTTAGACTTTAAAGTTGTCCAACTAATCCAATCTCTTAACATTATAAGCATTTTGCTTTTGTACCGTATGCCTATGGACTGCTGTACCATGATCAGTATTCACTAAATCCCAGTATATTAGAAACCAGTAACTTTCATAATTATGGTACCAGATGCAGCCCTTTGCATTTAAATGATTTCTGGAGGTGCAGTAAAAAAGGTAGTAAATATACTTTTATCACTTCTTCAATAACCAAAAGGGTAAATGCTCAAAAGCATCACAACTAGCTGCATAATTCCAAACAAGTATTTCTGAGTAAAATATATTGCGATATTAAAAATTCCAACTATAATTCTTACACCACAAAAATATAAGTAACATTTACAATTAAAAGAACTGTAAGCACAGTTAAGTATGGCAAACAGCAGCAAGAATACAAACCATAACATTCAAAAATCACATGCTATGATGATTAAAGGGACTTCCATGAACTTTACAGGCCATTTTTGAAGCTTCTTCCACAAATGACAACATCAAGCAAGACATGGCTACTGAAATTACATACCCTATATGGTCATTTCGATTTCCTTGTATTTTGGATTTCAAGTAAAATTCTTTAGGAAAAAAGAAAACAACAAAAAGGGAAACCTCTCCTAAAACTACCTAAGGACTTCGCTATAGAAAGAGGGTCTGCAGTAGGCACAATGTCTGAAACTGCAGAACAATTATCTGCCAGAATTCCTGCTAGCCTTTGTAAGTTCACCCTAGGCAAGGAAACATAAATTACGCTCTATAAACTTTGACTGAACAGCGCATAGTAAAGTTTGCTCCAGTTTAAAACTGAATAAACTATCTTATGTCTAACGTATATTAAGACTGATAATACTGTGCATTAATACAGGACAGTTACATACAGTAAACACAAAATTTACAGTGAATTCATTTTCCTGAGTAGATGTTTTTTCAGTGCAAAGCACTGCAGTGTCTACTTCTGAGAAGACTTGACTGAATATACTAACCTGATCTTTTACTGAAGGTTCCTACCTACAACTGCAGCACTGTGTCAGCAATAACCCACAGAAATAGCCTATGGTACACAACCCTTACAGATGTTCTGTCGTTTATTTTTCCTTGGTTGGAAGGGAGAATTCCCCTGCCATTTTTGGTGATACGTCAATCCTGAGGTAAGAAATAAATAGCAGAAGAAAGTATGTACAAATCTCAAGGTCTGGAATCCAGTGCTTCTGCCATACTGCTCTTTAGTAAGCCAGGCCCAGGAAACCACTAGAAGTGCTAAGGAAG